CTTTATGACTAATTGGTAATAAAGTAAATCTAGCAGCCTGTGGCGCGACAGCTAATATGTTATGATAATCCTGTAATGCAACTCCTTTACGGCGTCTATAATTACCACAGGTATCAGAATTAATCTAAATTCTTCAGATAAAAAAAAAAAAATTTCGTAATTTTGATACTTACATATCAGTAATCTTCGGATTTAATTGAATTAAAAGCCCTAACATAATTGAACTCCGGGTATAATGTCTCTCGACGTTCTTATCAAGAAATGGCTTAAATATTTCAAAATCTATTGGATCAATCTAATTGCAAAATACATATATGTTATTTCATATAATTCAAAAAAGTTCAGTTTCAAAAAAAAAAAAAGGCATACTTTAAGTCTAATAGCCTCCAAAATTTGATTTGCCATTTGTTCTCTTTGTTTATATGCTTGAATATCATCTTCAACGTCAACCATGTTTGAAGACCAACAACTTTCAAAAATTTTTTTCAAAAATTTAATATCATATAATAATTGTATAGCACTTTTTTCAGAAACATTTGTGAATTGAGCCGTATCCGAAACAAACTGCGTGTATAAGTCAAGAAACTTGATAAATATTTGTGTATAAAGGTCCTTTATTACATTCTTGTGATGAGAAAATTAAAGGTTAGAAGATTAAACGTGGGAAAACATATGCAGCAATAATAAATTTTAATATAAAGCATACCTCGTGTAATGTTGGACTGCCAACACGATTGATTTCCTGACAAGCATTAAACAAACAGTTCATAATTGTGGTTGATGGTTGTGAAGGCAACCTCATTTTATTACCTTCTTGACCCTGTACTGGATCTTGAATAGTTACTTCTATATATAAAAATACGCTTAAATTTTAAGTTTCTTGTTCGGAAATTATTGTTTTAACATAAGTTCATAAATTATTGGGGCTTACCTTCCCAAACTAATGTTTGCACATTGGTCTCATCCCAATGAGTATTAGATAACATTTTAGAAATAGTAACTTGTACATTATGAGTGATCCATTTAATCCATGGCTG